TCCGACTTTATTTTTCTACAGCGCCCTACTCCCACATTTACATTTCGGGGTTTATTTTAGGTTCCGTGTTTAAACTCAAGGTACTCTGCGTTTTCACAACCAACCCAGTTCTACTTAATTTGCCAGACATCACAACAAACATGAGCGCCTTCCATTCAGATCATTCTAAGCCTTCTGCTTCCTATAAACTGCAGGGTTAAATTCTCATGCTGGTTCAGACGCCCTATTGTGTCTTGTCTCTCACGTAGTTCGCATGAACTAGGTGCAAAGTACATTTATCGCAGCGACTCCAGTTATCTGCCTGTGAAATAACTTAAAATGCGCTTACAGCTTTATAACCTAAAGAGCCTCCGGTCGGCGGTTAATAAGTTGGATGGCTGTGAGCCAGTCTGGACATAGTAGTTGCGAAATATATCCTATCATTGCCGGAAATCGAACCCCAGTCTGCAGCCAGTTATTACACTAAAGACCATGCGTACAGAAGTTCGCTGCTGGACTCAGCTTACGGAAATAGACCGCAATTAATAATAGTTAGATATTCAGTTAAGAAGATTAAACTAATTGAGAAAAGAGTAAATGAAAACAAAGTTAATATTTAAGATATAAACATGTTAAAAGAGATAAACATTACACAACTTATTTTTTGTAAAATAATGTGTGAAGTTTGAAGATGGCTGCGATGATCGCCCTGATGATGGCGGCAGCAAAGACCTCTGAAACGTTGGTCATCATCTACTTGACGTTACATGGCGTTACAACCTAGAGGACAGCCATGTTTGAACTTAACGTCGTCAAAACCTCAGATCCTTTAATGTATGAAGTTATTCATTGACAAATATTTAAAGATGACTAATCATCAAAGAAACTTTTCTTCAGTCACAATTTAATGATTTATCATATTTATTCTGTTTCCATAAATAACATCAGGATTGAGTGGGTGATTAATACTTTTGAGGACAAAATTCTTTTGTCACACGTTCCGACTTTATTTTTCTACAGCGCCCTACTCCCACATTTACATTTCGGGGTTTATTTTAGGTTCCGTGTTTAAACTCAAGGTACTCTGCGTTTTCACAACCAACCCAGTTCTACTTAATTTGCCAGACATCACAACAAACATGAGCGCCTTCCATTCAGATCATTCTAAGCCTTCTGCTTCCTATAAACTGCAGGGTTAAATTCTCATGCTGGTTCAGACGCCCTATTGTGTCTTGTCTCTCACGTAGTTCGCATGAACTAGGTGCAAAGTACATTTATCGCAGCGACTCCAGTTATCTGCCTGTGAAATAACTTAAAATGCGCTTACAGCTTTATAACCTAAGGTAGATAAAATGACACAATCGTCTATTTACTTCTGTTAACGTGGGAGAGAATTCATGACGTCCTAATGCCACGCAATATTTGCTAGTCACTACGAAAATTATTAATGATTTAAAAGATTCTGATCTCTGAGATTATAGTTAATGCACCTTTATTCATTTGTATAATTCTGTGACAAAAGATACGTTGTTTACAAAGAGAATTACCCGTGTAATGATCTCACATTAAAATCAACAGGATCACAAATAATTACGTACTTATTTTCGTGTCAAGGAATGGTTTAAACATAGAAATAAAACTTCTACGTCGACTGTTTATTCAGTTCATAACTATGGACTGTTTTACACTGTCACTAATTTCGTTAGAAAATATTTACGAATTTAATTTCCTGATTTGAAGTCAATTTGTTCGAAAACTAGCACTCCTTTCATTAGCATATTGACAATTTTGTTTAAAAAATTAACATTTATACCCACTTATTATTTTTATGCCTTTATGTTATTTTAATCTGAAGGTTTAAATAAGTATGACGTCATGAGGACGCAGATTGGTCCACGATCAAAACTCTGGTTACAGATGTTGTTCCTCTTTGAAGTTCGTACTATCTTGCAGCTGTGGAGTTTGCTGCAAACGTATCGTTGCTCAAATACAATAAGCATTATTGTAAAGTGGGAACTTACGGAGTCGTAACTTTATTTTTCCTTCTGTTTGACAGGGGAGACAAGATCTCCCACTTTTAATCCTTTCGGAAAGGAAGAGGTTACTTCACTAAACAGAAATGCAGGGGAAATCACGACAATGTGATCATAATCCAGTGGCGGTTGATGATACATGTCGGAAAACCTGTCAGATCAAACGGTGATTCATCAGCGACAAATCCATCGTTACGTAAGGTGTGCAGTTCATGTACCGCATATAAACAACATATCTTTTTGAAAATTAATGTAATCTGGCAGAATATTACAGACGTTTCAGAGATGTTATTTGCCTCCATCATCAGGGTGATGACCACTCTGTTAAGTTGTTAGTTTTACAATATCTGCTATGTCTTTAAAACTTAAACTTCTTGTTTGTGAATGACAGGTGAAAATCGTAGGAACACAAATTGACATGATTTAAGTATGTTCGGATTTGTAAAATATTGCAAATTACGACTAATAGGTATAATTTGTGTTTATGTTTTATAAGACCTAAACAGATTTATAACTACCAACAGAACAACCGAGGATATATATTATGAATGCCAACTTACTGATTTCCTCGGAAGCTATTCGACTTCTGCCCTAAAGGAAAAAGAGAGACAGGTCGATCACGGAAGAGATGGAAGGAACAATTCCACTAACCTGAGATTGGGACAGGCCAAACGACCAGAAATTTTCAGCTGATGGTAAAGCTAAGGAATCATAAAATTTTCCCAGTTATTAATATCTAATATTTCCTGAATTCCTTCCGTCTCTAATCGTACCACTAGCCTAATATCCATCTGGTACTTTTCTTCTTAGATAATCAGACTTTTGTAAATAACCGAATTCATTGCATACGCTTATATTACGACTTTGTTACTAATTTTATGAAAATTTAGTTATAACTATATTTCTTGACACCACTTACAATTACGTATGCAATAAAATATATAAACCGTCGCTTTTCGTAGCTTATGGTTTAAAGAACTCAGATTTCACTGCTCCAGCAGCTAGAAGCTTTCCGAAAGAGAAACCTGGTTCCATGAGGAGAAGGAAGATTCTAAGCTTTAGTCTACACCCCCACCCTCTCTGAACCCCCTCGAGGGAGTAAGTGTAGCTGCAGTAGTCACAACCATATATATACATATATAAGGGATTGCTTTCCACCTAACCTCTATTTTAATAAGATTATACAGCATTATTTCATAGCATTAATGAGATCAAAAGACATACCGCCCATCCCATTTCTACCCTCTATTAACAACCACCCCAACTTCTTCTCAGACTTTCCCCTTTCTCGTGTAGTACTCATATAGCAGGTTGAAACTTCACCCCTTTCCACACTCCCCATTCTTTGCTGGTACTATTACATCCAAAGTTCTAACAACGGAAATGGGGTTGAACATTTTTTAAACGAAAGGGTTAATAGATTGAGGGACGAGTGAGACACCCTTTTAGAGATATTCTGTCTTTAACATTATGACAAGGTATAATAACTTTTTCCCGCATTAATTTGAAAATGCATTTATATTAAATCTCCCTTCAGGACTGTCTGCGTATTTTGTGTTACACAAAAAAATTAAAAGCCATGCAAAATGAAATTACTTAAGGATGCTTAAAGGTATAAAAGAAGAAAATAGGACACAAAATACATATCTTTATGTCACTCACTTGGAGAAACTTGCTTCGGAAAGGTTTCTTCAATAGTGGACATACCAGGAAAGTTCAACTGTTCACATAAATGTCTGTTACTGTTGTCTGTCTAAAATAACTAACTAATTTTTAAAGTATTTTGGGTATTACGCCTTGAGGTCTGCTCCAATTCAAAATTAGACCAAACTCGGATATTATGAATCCTTTCAGACATTTGGTAGTGATTCCTGACGGGAGGCCAGCCTCTCGAAATGTCTCTGTCTACACAAGACAGAAAAGTGGATGTAGACCCATGTGTCCAGTGAATCTCAAACCCAATATCCTAGTGTCTAGGCGGTAAATACCAAAGCCTTAAACGACGCGACCAATGTAATCAGCAGTAGTTCTGCTGCTACTGCTGTTTCACGGCCTTAGTCTTTCTGGAGAAAACTTAGCCAGCTTTCCATTCGAGATTTGGCAGGACTACTTGGGAGTAATAAAGGACCGCATTATACGACTACACTAAATTGAAATAAGTACTAAACTAACTAAAAATCTGACTTGTCTGACTGACTAACAACATCCAGCAACTTTAGTCTGTGTCAACAGACCTCTAACGTTTTATAAATTAGAATGTAAAGGAAAAAACATTCATTAAAAATAATTGCTGTAGTCAAATCATTTGT